CTGAAATTTTCGACATGATGCCTGCAGCCACCTTTCACCATCGCACCGCTTGCCATCAATAGAGAGTCCATCCTCATATCCTAGAACCAGAATGGTAACGCACAGTGCGGTTTTAGAGAAATTTCCTTCTGAGGAGAGGATAGTTCTTCTTTTGTACATAGGTTTGTTTTATAGATAGTAGCAGAAGTTTATTTTATAATTTAAATAGATATAATTCTGAAATAATTTAAATAGATGTTTCTGAGAATTAGAATTTTAACAATAGCATTATTTGGAATTTTATATTTATATTAAAAAATTAACTACACTGTATTAATAAAATACAGTGCAGCGGCTACAGTATTTACGACTTCACCAAAATTTTGCAACAAAATAAAAGTGCAGACAAAATTTATTAATTACATTAACAATCTTCGTTATTTGATATTCACTTAAATTGCAACATGTGGTCAAAATATGAGATTGCTTAAAGTACCTCATTAAAGTTATTAAAAAACAACCACCGATGAAGCAACATGGAACAAAAAGGAAACACATTTTAATGGCGACCGAAATATAATTATACGGTATTTTAGCATTATTAACTCGCGCGTCTTAAGAAGGTCACAGTAATTAAAGTCTTCAATAAGAACGTTAATGTTGAATGTGAGACCTTTATGGATATATTTGCATATAAAGCTGGTTATTTTCTTTTATAGCCAGTCATATTACGTGCCTTGTGGAATTTTTGTTCGGAAGTGTAAAAACTGACTTATGGGAAAGGATGCTTCGCTCTTTTTACAGAGTATAGTATATTATACCTAATTGAAATATTAAATAGACATCAGTTAACGATGCCTGGAAGCGCATTTGCATTTCCCATTGGGTTTGGATATAGGTTTAATAGTACCTTAATCAATTTTGGGACATCATTGGATATATTTTAACAATAGCTGTACTTACATTATGAGATCGTGGAGGGCTAGACAATTTTGTATAAAAGTCATACGAGTACATCTGCTTTTGGATAAGTGTTTATGCGCTTAGTAGCTGTGATTCATTTTTAAATGGATGATAATGGAATGGTAACTTCGCCTGCACTAACGGTATACGCTGGTCGGGCACTAGTGAGGGATGATAGGTGAGAATGAAAAGCTCATGATAACGAATTCACTTGTAATTGAACATGATAGTTTTCAGCGAGAACCGCGAGGAGGTCGACCTGACAGGGGTACTGCTAGCAATGGGGATACTAATCTCCATTATTACCAATCCCTTCTCCCCCCTAGTAGCTGTGCTAGCATGATTATTTCAGTTTGAATGGTCATATTCTTAATATATAAGATACTTTTTCTTCTAATTCACAATGCAAAGTCGCGGATTATAACTAGTTACATCATAATAAGTAAACCCTAAGACATTTTTAATATTTCTAAAATAGGAAGAAAGAGTTTCTTTTAGATAAAGCCTTATAAAAGATACAAATAACACAAAAGAGCGTATGTATAATAAATAAGTATAAAATAAATAGTAGTTTAGAGGACTTCTCAGAAAAGAGTTGGTTAAGTGGAACACTCGACATGCAAAACAGTCATTAGATGGTATGTATATTAACATCAGGATCCATCATCACTTGACATAAGCTTTTACATCCTTGCCTAATAAGATATTTAATAATAAAAAAAAAGAAAGAAAAAGTTTACAACAATTTATTTGATGTTTTTGAAGATGTTAAAAAAATATTTTTATCAGATCGCAGTAATAATATGCCTCATTTGGTTATCTGTGACAGGAATCTAAAACGACACAACCCTGCAATTTATCTCATCGAGATTCACTAACAGTTTAGTATTGGTTTTTATTTTATTATTTCAGTCATTAACTGTCCACTGGAGATTATGGAGAAGGCTTATGTTCAATAAGCTTTCTCCATAAGGGGAGTTTTGCCAGTAGTTGCCACGATTGGCAGGCGGGTTGGCAACTGCAGTAAGGCTTTTAGAGATGTTTTAAGAGGGACGCTGCTGCTCATTCCTCAACCATAAGTTCCCTTAGTCACTTCTTACGACACCAACGGGAAAGGAAGGGGTGACCTATTCTATAATGGTACAAACATGGTGATTCGTTTTCTTAATTCATTTATGCGCTTAATTCTTCCTTAATTCGTTTCTAAATATTTTATGTTTATATATAATATAATGTAATATGTTCATATATAAAATTTAAAAAATTATAAATGGCTAAACCGTTATACAGAGTTTCAAAGAAAACGGTAAATTAGTGCCAATGCAATTAGAGTATATTTGTTTTTGCACTATATTGTTCCACTTGATTAAAGAACTTGGTAGAATATAGAAAAAATAAATATGCAAAAGTGAATTTAATTTTGAGCAAATGCTGTCTCGATTCGACTGAGAACAATAACGTACGCTAAATCTTTAACGACAGCAGCATGCTCCCTCGTGACAATATGTGATTGGTCTGTGTCGATTCTGACTCGCCAATTGGTTTTGGCAGTTTATAGTCTCGTGTCAATGAGCTTGTCTGCAAGTCGACGACGTCTGATTAAAATGCGTGTCTAAATTGTCAAAACATAAAGTAGTGATGTAATTATGTACGATAACGACAAAGGATTAAAATCTGTTAGTCTAGACGTAAGAAAACATTTTATGTAAAAGTAAGTTTGTTTGGGTTATCTCTTAGCGCTTTAATGGTTTCATTAATCATTATGAAAGGTATATACATACTATATGGGTTGAACAAGGACATACTTTTATCTTGGTCAGAGAATATGTTCAAGTCACTTCATGAAGTTGCGAGTAAAAGCTAATCAATCATAAAATGCTATTATAATCAATTTAAATAAATATTTTAATTCAATTTTATGAGCATACGCATATATGCATGTCTGTAAAAGAAAATAATTATGGCAACAATTACTTTAAATATTTGTTAATTAATGTATATAACAAATAAAACGAATACAGTAATAATTTAAAATAATATAAATAAATAGAACTAAGAACGGACGTAGGTGAATATAAATCAAAGCGTCCAAAATTAATTTCATTGGAAATATATTAATTTAGGTAACTATGTAGACCGGAAAAGTCAATAGCGTTCGACGCGAGCGTTTATTGAGTAATTTATCCTAACTATAACCGCAATGATTAATATCCCGGATATTTAGTTAGGGAGAAACTGTTACGGGCGTCACGAACATTTCCTTGTCAATATTATGTTTAACAAACGATATCTAGGCATCTATCATTTGAAAGATTGACAATTTGCATTTACTGACAACGGTAACTATGAATTTGCACGTGCTGTAGTGCTCCACAATATTTCGATTATTAATGATTTTGTTTGTTTCATCACTATGTAAACTTGAAATAAAATAACAATAAAATTACTGGACAGTTAGCACCTAAAGGAAATATCAAACGAAGGAGCGAAGCGGGACTCTTTGGTCGACGAGTAGCAAGTGATAAATAAAGCGTAATTGAGAGACGGAAACAGCCAATGAGTAAATCTCGTCCGTCAATTTATTTAAATTATTTATTAGTGCTCGGCTATAGACACCCGCCGTGATCGCTTTCAGTGTACGTTCACAGAGATCGCTCCGGACGCGGCCAGTGCTTCATGTTCAGTCAGCTATCGATATCGATACGTATACATATACGTTTGACGTTCTATAACAGGTCGTATCTCACTACTTCGGCCATATAAGGAGAAATCGAAATCATTAGCATCCTCTTAAGGGTGTGTGCGAATTCTATTTTTAATCGTCTTTTAACTATTATTTCTACTATTAACTAATATTTCATTGGGATAAATATTCAGAAGGATGACAATAGTTTCAATTTCACCTTCTATAAGACTTACAGTGTTAAAAATATCATGAGATAAGAAATGTAGTTATCAAAGTTAGTTATTTATCATCATCGTTTCAATCTTTAATTGTAGATATATTGTTAAACATAGAACCCACGCATAACAAATAGTCCTGTCCCGAACCAATTGTATTCACTATTTGCACTATATTTGTGTTTTCACTTCATTTAGTTTGGATCCCAGCTATACTGCATTTTTCTGTACGTGTAAGTGCAATAAGAAGATCATGGATATTAATTGTTCCAAAATAACAAAGCAGACTTTTTGTCTATTCATAATGTTTTAATGTGAAGAAGTTATGTGATTCATCGATAAAAGGAAATATCGACATCGGCCAAGCTAGAAGTGATACGAATTAGTTAATTTGTGCAGATACGACACAATGGATGAGGAAATAATATACCTACGTACCTACTCATACATGTTTATAGCTACCGGGAGATTGTAATTGGCGTAATTGAACGAATCTGGACCCACTTAATAATGTCCCATTGTTGTTATTTAAATGGCAATTCATCGTTTGTGAAAGAAATGATTCATTACTCTTAAATTAAAAAGTTTGGTCTTCTGTTCCTGGGATGTGTATGACTTGACGCAGCAGCGGTGTCTCCATAATCTCGTGGTTATTAGTATACTCAGTAGACGATGGAGAGGCAATGATTTGGTATCCTGAGACTGGATATCAGGAACAATTTCATATGGCATGGCATATACAGCCAATTATTGTTATGTATGGTCTTTACATAATATCGTTAGCATTCGATACGTTAATATTATATACAAATTAGTTTGGTCAATTATTTAAGCTTTTTCAAACTGGAAACAGATTCTTAATTCGTCTATATTTATATAAATTAATGAATAAGTATACCTTATTTGCATTATACAATATAGGGGCAAGACGAATGTAACGATACATTTGTATAAGTACAGTAAGGCGGTCTTATTGCTGAAAGCAATCTTCATTATGTGTTTTTATTTTATATGTTTGTATGTTAGTTAATTAATAATTTCGTCAATTTTGAACAGATTTCAATAATTATTTTTGCTAATGACATGAGTTTAGACCTGTGTTGACCTCTTGTAAAAGACACGATTTTATTGCGATTAAAATAATTTCTAGCACGTACCCATTAATATCGGTGATGGACCAAAAATGCTTCAGCACAGCCTTCGCCAGCAAGTACCAGATCTGCGTCCATACCCACGACGACTTGTCGATGGAGGATGATAGGAACTCCTTGGTCTCCTCATCGGAATGCAGCTGTACGAACTTCTGGCGCAGTTCCGGACTCAGGCGGCTGGAGTCTACTCGATACCACTGCAACAAGGGTATAATGTTATGAAAGAAGATTGTTTCAGCGATAATATTGACTTTTGTACTTTGCTTAGTGACTTTCAAAAAAGGAGAGCATCAATACGTCTGACTTTTTGCAGATATGTTACGAGATTACATTGATAATTTGTACACCAATTTTAACAATTCTTTTTGCAATCAATAGGCTTTTTTTTCGATTTTAAAGAGCACACTAGACGCAAAAAAAAGAGGACAAAAGAGGAAGGGGAAGACCGAAAAATAACTACATGGGATAGATAAAGGAAACACTAGGTATCATGCCGTATAAAGAGATCATAGAGCTTGAAAAAGAGCTGGCTGGAAGAATGCATGATATAATTGCCCCGACAAGAACAAACTCTTAAATGAAAAGAAGAAGGCTTTACTCTCGTGTTGGTTCTTATTTTTAAAACCGCTTGTTACAAAGCACATCTATGTGTAAAATAATAATATACTTATACTATATAGGAAATGTCTTGTTTGTCGTTTATTAGTGTGATTCAACAATGTGACAATGCAAGTCATTTATATTTTGGGGAGCAATATAAATTTGTGTAATATTGATTATCTTATAATATTATGTAAAAGTTTGTAAAGTTCCTTGAGTAACAAATATCCATGCATGTCAACAATCACTTAAATTTATAATATTAATAGTACTTGTACAACTAACATTAATTTATGCAAAATCGTTACACGCAAATTGAGCCATGATTAAAGGAACGGCGAACACATCGAATCACAACTGTGACTCGTAAATTGATGTTTAACAACCCTTGGCCGCGAGCTCTTAATGAAAGTGTACAAAAAGAGTAATCGAGTGCAAATAAGAGAGTAGAGTATGAAAGGAGCGTGTTGGTCGTCACCCGTTGTGTGTTTAAGTCGCCGCGCCGCGGCCCTACAAAGGCCGCCGTGGCCGCTGTTAATTTCACGCCGCCTCGAATTAACATTTCTTTACGCCACACAATAATGACGAATTAAAAAAACGCCTCGCCTCTACATGTAGTATAATGACGGCCAGACGGGAGCGGGACGCAAACTCATCAGCGGAGCTTAATTAATGCCAGATCTGTCTTTATATTAAAATCGAACTCGGTAAAAAATTTAAGCCGCGTTTACATTATCCAATCTATCGTTCTTCAACTCACTGTGTGCCAATTTTCAAATACATATCGCGTCCTTACAGCCAGAAATCTATCAAACCCTGTCAGTTTATATAAAATAATTCCGAACGAAGCCAAGATTTTTTATGAGACTTAGAATGGAAAACTGGCTGAAGGCCCACGTGATAGAAAGTGGTAACCTTTGCCTACACAAATGAATAGTACCCTGTCAGGTCGACCACTACGTGGTCCTCCTTGGAAACCATTGTCTTGAATTTAAGGTGTATTCATCACGATAGGGTAACTGACCAGCCTCTTCAACCTCATCTCACTTATCATCCCTCACTGGTGCCCCGCCGGCGTATGCCATCAGCGTAGGTGGGGTTTCCATTCCATTGTTATCCATTAGAAAAAAGATACCTTTTTAATCTGTATTCTGTAATTTCATTGCTATACCCCACTTTTCAAACCAAAATATAAGCATGCAAGCACAGCTGCTTCATGCCAGAAACGCGAGTGAGACAGAGGTAAAATAATTTAAAATAAGTAGGGCAAGTTTATGTAATTTTAAGACAATCACACTGGCAGTTAATATGGTGTAGATTGGATAATGTAATTCGCGCTTTAAGTGAAGTGTATACGAATATAAGCATGAAGAAGATACAACGGAGCGTGGGTTCCATACTTAATAGCAAATCTTCTGTCCGATGATAAGAGCAAGGAATTGTGAACGATAAATGAGGTTTTCGTTTGAATTTTTATTAAATACGATTATCTATACAATATTACGTAAGAGTAACAAAATATATATATTAATAATTTTTTAACTGAATACTATGAGATTGACAGTTCACAATGATGAGTGAGACGTTTTGTTTCACGCTTTTGCAATGTTTCTCTAAATAAAAACTTTTAAAAGAGATAAACTGATATACTCCTGTCCTTATTTATTTACAAGCCTACTATTGCACTGTTTGATTACACAGCTTGATTCATCAATAAAGGTTTTTTTTATTAGATATCTATATAAATATTATCTATATAAATGATGATGCTGATTGACTAACTGACTTTTAAATATTTTTGAATTCTACAATCTTAAAATTTTGCAGATATTTTCTTTATATAGGGTAGTAGGTAACTCTAAAGGGAGTAAAATTACCAAAATATCAAAGGTCGTGAGCAAAAGCTAGTATAAAAATAATGTAATCTTACTTAAAATTAATAGATATATCAACTGCTATAACTAGAGTCAGAAATTTTGCACGCGCATTCTTTAGGTAATATAGAAAGATATTCCCTCGAATTACTAGACCGCGCTCGCTCTTAGTGTGAACTATGAGTGGTACGTGTTCTATGGCGTGATAGTGTGGAAAGATAGTGTTGCTTCAGTTAACGACTACAAATAAATGTAACTAAAAATAATACAAATAAATATGCTACTGTCGCCCTGATAGAGGTAGTCAGTCATTTGTTGTGCCCACATATCGTTTAGCATTTTTCCGGATGTCAAATTCCAGGCTTTTTACCGGTTACTTTATTTACACACGTTTAGCAATTTAGGATTCAATGTAGCAGGGGACGAGCGTACCGCAGTCACTCAGATGAATTTAGATTGTTAACGGTGTTCCTATTACTGGAGGATGAGTAGAAAATATATACTGATACACAAAGTTTCTGAATTTGCCAGATTGGAACTCACGATCATCACTATGCTTTCTGTTCTTTACATATAATTTGAATTGTATATTTAGAGTTAAAAGAAGAAAATACTAAAGATAAAACAGAGTTAATAATAAGTATCAATTTGGAATATTTACCCTGAATTAGTCCGATCGAGAATTGAACTCGGGACTCCAAAAGCAATATGTTGAGCCACGGAGTTCGTAGAATTATTTCATTGTATATAATATTTTTGAAGATTCAAAGGAAATTACAACGTGCTTTGTAACACCATTTTTATTTCTTCAGGGTTTTTAAATCAATATAATGGAACCCAAATAATTATCTAAAACCGGTAGTTGAAACAATCGTCACGGCAAATCGAACCGTCAGTTGGGATCGTGTATTCAATTATTAGGGTTCCGTTAGTAAACACTGGCCTCGTGGGAATGTATTCATGAATCAATTTGTATATTGTTGGTATATTCCAATATATTACCAGTAAGGCCAGTAATATGAAAAAGCGTTAGTAGGAAATAGGATTATTTGATGAAAATCTTGTGTGGTAGGTATTTCAGGTAAAAATATGAGCAATTAATTTAATAACAATTAGTATTATTTAGATACGGTTATAAAATATATAAATTTTAAGACCTTCATAATGTAAAAAAAAATGAAAAAAATTTATGAATACTTTGGACGGTAAAAATATTTAACTAACTGCTAACGAATAATGAGGTAATGTGTTTTAATGATGCAATCAACACTTCCAAAATTTATGGAAGAAATTAAATATACATAAATATAATACAAATTGATCCATCTATTTTGTAATTCCGTAGTAAATACAATTATTATAATAATATTTTATGTGTTATATATTAAAAAATAATTAGCAAGCAGGAAAATTGTAACAAAAAATCTGCAATGGATAATGCTAATATCAAAGGGAAAACTAGTGGAGACTGCATATAAAATAGTGGACAAAATAGATTAAAAAATAAATTATATCCCGTTTTTATAGAATTAAAAAAAAAGGAAATTTAGATTTACGATGAATCGTGAAAAAGTATTGAAAAATAAATATTTAGTGCCGAATAATGACAGCGAATAACGTTAGTGATTATGCAATACGCCGTCTTACATTTAAAATAGTCTGCACCCGAAGTACCTACGGCTTCCGACGCGACAAGGCGAATTCTCTAGACAGAATATGGATCGTGAATTTTTAAATTGAATATTTGATAATGATTGTGTTTAGTATCTACTTAAAAGTATCTTGTTGGATAAGAAGGCGAAAATTAAACACGTCATGGAAGAGGCGTTATATAGAAATCGAGATGGGTCAGGACCTACCCAATGTCGGCGATGGATAGGATGGATGCTAGAGTCGCAAGCTGCTAGCGTAACAGGCGAAGACAACGCACAGGAGCATTGGAAGAAGAGCGGTAAGATGGCGAGACGATATTGTAAGAGCAGTGGAGATTGATTTAGAACAACTCAGAATGAATGTGAATGGTGAGTAAGTAAGTAAGGTGAGTAAGATACAGAATAATAATTATGTATAAATTAAAACAAATTTTTGAATGACTACAGATGCAAATAAATAAAATTATGTCATTATTCATCAATTGTAATACAAGATTTTTAATCTTATTCTTATTTCATCCTTCTACGAAAAACTTCTTCGATATTACTCCTAATATAGAAGTTTTTGGTAGAAGGTTGATGACAATTTTATTTTTTGCGTCTGTGGTCATTCTAAAATTATTTTTAAATGTCTTAATTTATACAATAAATTTATATATAATTATTATAGCTGAATATGTAACGACCCGCTGCCTTTTTCATTCGGGATCCTGGGATTGTATTCTCTAGTTATAGATAGCTATAGATGGTAACACTTTATCAGTTTCTTATGTGAGAGTTATATGAATTCAGTATCGATTCGTAAGTACAAAACAAAGGTCGAATGAAAATGCGCATCCGCACAGGTATGTGGTGTGTCAAAATAATTTACCATTAATATTAAATTATTCAGTCAACGCGTACTTGGTATTAATATCTAAGTGAGACTGATGTCACTTTGTAATGTAAACTAGAATTTATAATAAATCAATGGCAAAAAAGACTAGGTTGACACCTTGTTGTTTTGAACGGTCGGTAGAGGCGCCCAATTGATTTATTTATGAGGATCATGTTTAGGATTCATTTTCTGCT